ATGGAGATGAGGAATATGGGATCCCTTTTCAGTAATATTATGTGTTTAACTTTTATCTAGGTAGTTTTGAAAGAAAAACAGTTGTAAGTGCATGAAATTATGTATCTATGTCATATGACTTTCTTTTAATATACCTGGTATAAAATTTTCACACAGTGTGATTGCAAGCACTGTGTTTCCTGGGGACATGCGTGCATGTGACTATATATTTCAGTGCTTTTACCCATGTGTGTACATATATGTGAGTGTTGAATGAGTGCATCTGCCCATTGGAGGAATTTCACTTCATTCTGACAATAAAATTGCCTGTTTAAAGGGAGGAAAAAAGACTAATAGTAACTAAAAGGAAAAATAAAAAGTTAGAGTGACAATTTGTTAGGTGTTTACTATGAGCCAGGCACTGACCTAGTGGCTTTATATGCATCTTGATTAACTTCACCGTGGCACTAATAGGTCGATAGTTTTCTCTTCATCTTCCAGATCAGAAAAGGTTGAGACCTCAGAGAAGTTAAGTGACTTTTCCTGCGTCACATAGATGGCAGTAGTAGAGTATGGATTTCCACCCAAATCCAGTTGGTGGCAAAAAACAAAAAATAGCTAAATGTAAAACAATGTTTATACTGCCTAAGTATGTTATATTAATTAACCCATTTTATGATCCCAGAATTCGATAAGGTTGATACTGCTATTCCTGTTTTATATATGCGAAATTGAAAACCATTGAAAGTTTAAGTAACTTGCTGCAGTTAAAATGACACATCTGGAATATAAACCAGTAGCCTGGTTGGACTACATACTTCAAGTCACTTATATACAGTGCTGTCCAAAGTGGGTATCTACCTTTTCCTCTCCTTGTGGAGAGGAAAGAACAGAGAACAGAACATATTCACATTTTGCATGTCATTTTAGATTTAATTTATCTTTAAAATTATATTTTACACAAGGTTAATAATTGTCACTTTGGAAAGTTCTGATGTTTATCATTCCAGAGGCATTCACTTTTCACATTAAGAAAAAAAACTACTTTATCATGCATCAGGGGTTCCTCTACACTCAGTAAAGAGACATTGGCATAAGATTTAGAATACATTGTAATTACTCATGTGAATTGGAACATACAGCACTATATCAGCGAGATATTGTCCGGTAGACTTCCGTAGTGGAAAACAGAAACAATTATGATGCATAAAAGAATTTTTTAAGAAGGCAGTCCACAAGAGGCATGGAAGTGCACCAATATGACCTGAAGGACCCAGGCACTGTCTGTATTTTGGCTTCAAGGTGTCCACTGGGAGTTGACTCTTGATTTTTTTAGAAATTTTTAAATTAATTTTAATTGTTGTGGGTACATAGTAGGTATAATATTTTGGGGGTACCTGAGGTGTTTTGATGCAGGCGGGTCATGTAAAATAATCACATCATGATTTCCACATTCCAGATGAAAGAGGAAGGTAGGAAAGGCAAGAGTGTGCTCCTCCCAGCTGAGTTAAGTCTCTTTAAGAAGCGTCTCTGAAAGTTCCATACACCATTTTTCACTCACTTCTTATTGGCCAGGAAGGAATCATAGTGTAGTACCTCGCTGCAAGGTGAGTTGGGTCATGTAGTATTTTATCTCGGCTCATGTGGTGGTTTTACCTCTTTAAATTTCCTATGTATTACAAAAAACAAATATATAGCTACGGCCGTAGTTCACATCTTTATTTGTGTTATTTTAAAAATAAATAAAGAAGCACATTTTATTTATGTCATCATATTCTCTTTGAATTTAAAAAGATCCGATTCTCTGATAAAGCAGAAAAGCAATGAACTTAAATTTCCTGATGCATAGTGTCGAACAATCACTTCTTACATATTTAATTACAAGCTACAGTCAGTCTTTGGCCATAGGGATCAAAGATGAATAACAGTTTATCCTTCTCTCAAAAACCTACAATTTTTTTTGGAGGAGAAAGACGTACAAATTCATCATAATACACAATAGAAAATCTATTTAAGAAGTAATAGCTGTACACCAGAGGGAATAAAACTAACTCTGGCCTCCCGGCTCGACAGGCGGCGCGGGCGCCGGTGAACTGGCGGTTCCAGGACCTCGCCAGGCGGCCACGGGGCCTTCCTCAGCGCCGTCTGCACCGCCATCCTATGAAGAGACGGTGCTGTTAACGGTTATTACCCCACACGCCTCCAGCTCCCACGCCCGGGTATGAAGAGACGGGGCTGTTACCGGTTATTACCTCACACGCAGGCGGCGCTGGCGCCGGTGAATTGGCGGTTCCAGGATCTCGCCAGGCGGCTACGGGGCCTTCCTCGCGCCGTCTGCACCGCCATCCTATGAAGAGACGGCTGTTAACGGGGTTATTACTCCCACACGCTCTCCACTCTACGCCCGGTATGAAGAGACGGGGCTGTTAAATGTTATTACCTCACACGCTCCGGCTCCTATGCCCGGTGTGAAGAGACGGCTGGCACTGGTTATTACTCCCACACGCTCCTGCTCCCATGCCCGGTGTAAGAGACGGTGCTGTTACTCGGTTATTACTCCCACACGCTCCAGCTCCCACGACCGTGTGAAGAGACGGTGGCGGTTAACGGTTATTACCTCACACGCCTCCAGCTCCCACGCCTCGTGGGTGTGAAGAGACGGGCGTGTTAACGGTTATTACCTCACGCCTCCAGCTCCCATGCCCGGGTATGAAGAGACGGGGCTGTTACCGGTTATTACCTCACACGCCTCCGGCTCCCATGCCCGGGTATGAAGAGACGGGCTGTTACCGGGTTATTACCCCTCACACGCTCCGGCTCCCATGCCCGGGTGTAAGAGACGGCTGTTACTGGCCATTACCCCACACGCCCGGCTCCTATGCTCCGGGTGAAGACGGTGTTGTTAATGTTACCTCTACCCAGCTCCACGACCGGGTGCAAGAGACGGTGGCGGTTAACGGTTATTACCTCACACGCTCCAGCTCCTACGCCCGGGTGTGGAGAGACGGTAAGTGTTAACGGTTATTACCCCCCACGCTCCAGCTCCCATGCCCGGGTATGAAGAGATGTGCTGAGCACGGTTATTACCCCCACGCCCGGTTCCCAGCGCCCGGTATGAAGAGACGGTGCTGTTACCGGTTATTACTCCCACACGCTCCGGCTCCATGCCCGGGTATGAAGAGATGGTGGCTATTAACGGTTATTACCCCACACCTCCGGCTCCATGCCCGGGTACAAGAGACGGTGCTGTTAGCGGCCATTACCTCACACGCTCCAGTTCCCACGCCCGGGTGTGAAGAGACGGTGGCGGTTAACGGTTAGTTACCTCACGCCTCCAGCTCCCACGCCCGGGTGAAGAGACGGTGGCGGTTAACGGGTTATTACTCCCCACGCTCCGGCTCTCATGCCCGCATGAAGAGACGGGGTGTTGTTAACGGTTATTACCCCACGCCTCGGCTCCTACGCCCGGTATGAAGAGACGGGGGCAGCACAAGCTATTACTCCCACACGCCCGGCTCCATGTGCCCGGTATGAAGAGATGGTGGCTATTAACGGTTATTACCCCACACCTCCGGCTCCCATGCCCGGGTATGAAGAGACGGTGTTGCACGTTAGCCACCTCACACGCTCCAGCTCCCCACGCCCGGGTGTGAAGAGACGGTGGCTTAACGGGTTACCACCTCACACGCTCCAGGCTCTACGCCCGGGTGGTGAAGAGAGACGGGTGGCGTTAATGTTATTACCTCACACGCCCAGCTCCCATGCCCGGGTGTGAAGAGACGGTGGCGTAAGTTAACGGTTATTACTCCCACGCTCCGGCTCCTATGCCCGGGTGTGAAGAGACGGTGCTGTTAACGGTTATTACCTCACACGCCTCCAGCTCCCATGCCCGGGTATGAAGAGACGGTGCTGTTAACGGTTATTACCCCCACACTTCCAGCTTCCCCACGGGTATGAAGAGACGGGCTGTTAATGTTATTACTCTGGCCACACGCTCCGCTCCATGCCTGGGGGTGGCAGAGACGGTGGCTGTTACTGGTTATTACTCCCACACGCCCGGCTCCTATGCCCGGGTGTGAAGAGACGGTGCTGTTACCGGGTTATTACCTCGACACGCTCCAGCTCCTACGCCCGGTATGAAGAGATGGTGGCTATTAACGGTTATTACCCCACACCTCCGGCTCCCATGCCCGGGTGGGTGTGAAGAGACGGGCGGTTAACGGTTATTACCCCACGCCTCCGGCTCCTGAAGTGCCCGGGTATGAAGAGACGGTGCTGTTAACGGTTATTACCCCACGCCCGGCTCCCAGCGCCCGGGTATGAAGATTTCCAAGCAGCACGTTACACCCCACACGCCTCCTGGGCTCCTATGCCCGGGTATGAAGAGATGGTGGCTATTAACGGTTATTACCCCACACCTCCGGCTCCCATGCCCGGGTATGAAGAGACGGTGCTGTTACCGGCCATTACCTCACACCGCCTCCAGCTCCCACGCCCGGTGTGAAGAGACGGCGGCTAACGGCTGCCACTTCGCCGCCTCCAGGCTCCCACGCCCGGGTGTGGGAAGAGACGGCGGTTAACGGTTATTACCTCACACGCTCCAGCTCCCCATGCCCGGGTGTGAAGAGACGGTGGCGGCAACGGTTATTACCCCCACGCTCCGGCTCCCATGTTCGGGTGTGAAGAGACGGTGCTGTTAATCGGTTAGCCACCACACGCTCCAGCTCCCATGTGCCCGGGAATAAGAGACGGTGCTGTTAACGGTTATTACCCCCACACGCCTGAAGCTCTACGCCGGGTATGAAGAGACGGGGCTGTTACCGGTTATTACCCCACACGCTCCGGCTCCTATGCCCGGGTGAAGAGACGGTGGCTGTTACTGGTTATTATCCCACACGCCCGGCTCCCATGCCCGGGGTGTGAAGAGATGTGCTGCCACTGGGCCACACCTCACACGCCCAGCCTCCACCCGGGTATGAAGAGATGGTGGCTATTAATCTGTTATTACCCCACACCCGGCTCCCATGCCCGGGTGTGAAGAGACGGTGGCGGTTAACGGTTATTACCCCACGCCTCCGGCTCCCATGCCTCGGCCAACTACGGGGCTGGTGACAGGGCCTGGAGGGAAGGGCATGAATCGTGCTTCGTATTTTGCCAGCCAGCGCCCATCCCCAGTAACAATCCAATTATCGTGCAGACGGTCTATGTGCAGCACCCCATCCCCTTTTTGGACCGTCCTGTCCAAATGCGTTGTCCTTCCTGCAACAAGATGATCGTGAGTCAGCTGTCCTGTAACGCCGGTGCTCTGACCCGGGAGCCCGTGCCTGCTGGGGTGCGTGGCGGGCCTGCTGCTTCATCCCCTTCTGCGTGGACGCCCTGCAGGACGTGGACCGTTACTGTCCCAGCTGCAGAGCTCTGGTGGGCACCTACAAGCGTTTGTAGGACTCAGCCAGACGTGGAGGGAGCCGGGTGCCGCAGGAAGTCGTTTCCACCTCTCATCAAGCTTCACACCTGGTGGAGGTTCTGCCCTGGTGGTCTCACCTCTCCAGGGGGCCCACCTTCATGTCTTCTTTTGGGGGGAAATGTCGCAAAACTAACAAACCTCCAAACCCCAAAAACTGCTGCTTGGAGTCGTGCATAGGACTTGCAAAGACATTCCCCTTGAGTGTCAGTTCAACGGTTTCCTGCCTCCCTGTGACCCTGAGTCCTCCCATCTAACTGTGATCATTGCCCTCTCCGAGTATCTTCCAGTGATCTGCCATCAGTGGCTCTTTTTTCCTGCCTCCGTGGGCCTTTCCGGTGGCAGCCTCAAACTGAGAAGCCACAGTTGCCTTATTTTTGAGGCTGTTCTGCCCGGAGCTCAGCTGAACCAACCTTTAGTGCCTACCATTATCTTATCCATCTCTTCCCATCCCTGATGACAAAGATCTTGCCTTACAGACTTTACAGGCTTGGCTTTTAGATTCTGTAACTTCAGACTTCACTAGCACACAGATTCACTTTCATTTCCTAATTTTTTTTTAAGTACAAAGAGGGGCTATTAACACCCAGTACAGACATATCCATGAGGTCATAAATGCATGCTAGAAAACTAGGGCTGGATTTTATCACTGCGCTGTCTCCCCTTGTTTCTCTGTGCCAGATCTTCAGTGTCCCTTTCCATACAGGGACTTTTTTCTCATAGAGTAATTATATGAACAGTTTTTATGACCTCCTTTTGGTCTGAAATACTTTTTAATAGAATTTCTTTCTTTAAACAAACAAAAAACCAGAGATGGGGTCTTACTGTGTTGCCCAGGCTGGTCTCGAACTCCTGGGCTCAAGTGATCCTTCTGCCTTGGCCTCCTGAAGTGCTGGGATTGCAGGCATGAGCTACTGTGTGGGGCCTGAACATAATTTCAAGAGGAGAATTTATAAAACCATTTTCTCTAGTCATATGATTGGTGTCATTTTCCCATTTGCCAAGGTAGTCTCACTTAAAAAAAAAATAAGGAAAAGAAATGGGTAATTTCTTTTTCTTTTTTTTTTTTGAGACGGAGTCTCGCTGTGTCACCCAGGCTGGAGTGCAGTGGTGCGATCTCGGCTCACTGCAAGCTCCGCCTCCCAGGTTTACGCCATTCTCCTGCCTCAGCCTCCCGAGTAGCTGGGACTACAGACGCCCGCCACCACGCCCGGCTAGTTTTTTGTATTTTTAGTAGAGACGGGGTTTCACTGTGTTAGCCAGGATGGTCTCGATCTCCTGACCTCGTGATCCACCCGCCTCGGCCTCCCAAAGTGCTGGGATTACAGGCTTGAGCCACCGCGCCCGGCCAGAAATGGGTAATTTCATCCGCTGCCTTTACTTGGGGTTAATGTGGTTCTTAAACACCTTCATCGTGGAACTCTCAAAGTGGGGTCCCTTTTGGGTTCCTGGTGGTGGGTTTTGAAAGATAAGGGAAAGCACATTTTGAGCATGTCTGGGTACCACGGTGCAGAACACTTGGGAACCAGAGCTGTTTCAGAGGAATCTGAAGTCTGCTTTTAGTTTTCAGAGACACGACTTGTTGTAAAACATCAAAAGACATGATTTTCAGGACTCAAGCAGCAAGCCAGGATTCTAGGTTGGCTGCTGTGTCATCTTTGAAGTCAAGACTAGGCTGGGCTCAACCTTCAGGAGTCCTCATTTTGACAATAATTCAGCCTAAGGAACTCATGTGAATACTACTATGTGGAAATAAAGCCTAGACCTTGAGCGAACATCTGTATATTGGTTGAAAATGATAGTGGTAACCGTTGATCCCCCTTACGTCATTTTACGTTTGGAAAATTCTAGTAATTATCATTTTTGCAATGAATATGGATACCACATAGTACTTTGGTGTTACCTGCTTTTGAAAAATAAAGTCTTTGGTTCACCCGGTAAAAAAAAAAAAAAAAAAAAAAAACACCTCATTGGTGAGCCAGGGGTGACCATGAGAAGAAGAGGTTGGAAAAACTTCCCAGAGGATGTGATAGTTGATCTGGACTCAGAAAGTTGAGTAAGATTTCACTGCAAGGCAAGGAATGAGGAACCCAGACAGAAGGAATAGTTTCCAAAACCTTATTACATATCCAGTGATATTTAACGTATAATGATAGTTTAATACTGTGGCATAAATGTATGGTCAGAAGTTCAACATTTCCGTGAACAAAGTTTTATTGGAGCACAGCCATCCATTTGTTTATGTGTGTTCCTACTACATGAGCAGAGTTGAGTAGTTATAACAGGGGCAATATGAATTGCAAGCTGAAAATATTTACAAAAGGGTTTGCTGACTCTTGATATCAATTAAGACATTTGCACAGGTATAAAAAATGTACTGATGATTTCAGAAATTAATTAAAATGTACATGGTTAAACCTTCCCAAACCCTCTGTCTGCAATTACCTAGCAAAGCAAGGTAGAGGGTTAAAGGTGGGTAAATACACGACAGTCAGGGGATAACTTTAATAAACTAGCTTGATATCTAAGAAGATAGCTAGCATTGTGGCCTATACTACAATGTCCCAGATTTTACCCTTCTCACTTTTGTGTACCAGGGAATTTGCATACTAAGACATTGGAAACTGCCAAAATGATAGACATGAAGCTCATCCTTTTGCTAGAAGAGATGTAAGACAAAAATAGAAACAGAGAGGGGAAAGGAAGTGAATTGCAAAGTATGTATTTCCATTTAAGGCTCCTTTTTTTTTTCCCTTAAAGTTTCTGGCTTAAGGTTTAAGTACCTTTGATCTGAGTCAGTCTTTCCCTTTTCCCAGTGCTCAGATGCATTGACACCCTTGACAAGATCAATGCAACTGGAATGGAGGGGGGAAATCAAGAAACGAATATTTTACAAATTAAGTAGGTCAGCCCAAAAGCCTAAGAGCAGACTCAGAGCACCCAAGGACTCATTCAAATAGGGACCCCTTATTATCTTATAATCCCAATATAAATACCTCTTTAGTCCCTCCCCGTGTCAGGGGATTCCACCAAACCTGGGAGTGGCTGCTTCCCTTCTTCCCTTTCTCTATTACACATTCTGATTAACCCTCAAAGAGCTGCATCATTGGGCCTCAGCACATGAGAAGGATTTCTAGGCCAGGCGCAGTGGCTCGCGCCTGTAATGCCAGCGCTTTTGGAGGCCGAGGCGGGTGGATCACCTGAGGTCAGGAGTTTGAGACCAGCCTGGCCAACATGGTGAAATCCCTGCCTCTACTAAAAGTACAAAAATTAGCCGGGCGTGGTGGTGGGCACCTGTAACCCCAGCTACTTGAGAGGCTGAGGCAGGAGAGTCACTTAAACTTGGGAGGTGGAGGTTGCAGTGAGCCAAGATTTGCTACTGCACTCCAGCCTGGGTGACAAACCTAGACTCCATCTCACAAAAAAAAAAAAAAAAAAAAAAAAAAAAAAAGATTTCTAGAACTGTGATGATAAGTAGTATAGCATCCTATAAAGAGCACACAGATTAGTGGGCTGAGAATCAGAGTGCTTACGGTCACTGGATTTTACCGCTGGAAAGGATCTTACCAGTTATCTAGTCTAACTTCTCATTTTCCTCTGTAAGAAACTCAGGTCCAAATCAATAATGTGACCAATATTTTAGTCCTGGTCTATTCCACTGTGGGACCCTGAAGCCTCTAATTCTCATCAGTCTCTGTGTTTTAAATGCAAAATTCACATAAATCAAATAATCTCAAGAAACCTCTACATTATAGGATGGTAGTAGTCCACATCTTGACAAAACAAAACAAACCAAACATTTTAAAACATTTAAAAAGCACTATTGAATTTTAAGAAGGGCCTTTCTGATTTTTAGCATCAGGCTTCAGAATGTAACCTTTCATATCTGGACTGGACTGTCGCTTAGAGTGAGTTCCCAGCATACTATAGAAAACATTGAATTCTCTTCTTCATTTATTATTATTTTTTTCTTAAAGATGACTCTCATATTATTTGTCCAGAAGTTTGATGTGAAAAAACAGTTGTAGCAACAATTACTTTTCTTCTTTTTTTTTTTTTTTTAGACAGGGGCTCCCTCTGTCATTCAGGTTGGAGTGCAGCTGTGTGCCCTCAACTCACTGCAACCTCTGCCTTTCGGGTTCAAGCGATTCACCCACCTCAGCCTACGAAGTAGCTGGGACTACAGGCATGGATCACCATGCCTGGCTAATGTTTGTATTTTTAGTATAGACGGTGATTTGCCACGTTGGCCAAGCTGGTCTCAAACTCCTGGCCTCAAGTGATCCACCCGCCTCGGCCTCCCAAAGTGCTGGGATTACAGGCGTGAGCCACCTCGCCCCGCCCAGCAATTGCCTTCTGCACGGCGTGATTCCAGCGGAGGCCCCAGTCAGCAGGTCATTCCAGTGAGTCATTGTCGCCAACCATTGACAAGGCCCAGGAGAACAGCACAGGTGGGGAGGTGGGGCAGGAATAGGGGAAAGGGCAGGAATGGGGGAAAGGGCAGGAATAGGGGAAAGGGCAGGAATAGGGGAAAGGGCAGGAATAGCGGAAGCAAGTTTTGAAAACGGATTTATCTGGGTCCAAATTTGAAATATTTTACTTACTAAATCTCTATCATGTTTACGATAACCTCATCAAACTCTGCAAGCCTCAACTTTCTCAATGTAAAAATAGCAATGCCTATATCGTTCTGTTAAATATGGGTTAAATAATGGTGAAGTGTCTCTAGATAACCACCATATTCGTTGCAAAGTAAAGGATGGAAAAACTCTAGCCTAATATATATATTTTCTTTTGTTCCTTGCCTTCTTTGTCTGCACTTCTTTTTTTTTTTTTTAATTTATTTATTATTATTAAACTTTAAGTTGTAGGGTACATGTGCACAACGTGCAGGTTTGCTACATATGTATACTTGTGCCATGTTGGTGTGCTGCACCCATCAACTCGTCATTTACATCAGGTATAACTCCCAATGCAATCCCTCCCCCCTCCCCCCTCCCCATGATAGGCCCCGGTGTGTGATGTTCCCCTTCCCGAGTCCAAGTGATCTCATTGTTCAGTTCCCGCCTATGAGTGAGAACATGCGGTGTTTGGTTTTCTGTTCTTGTGATAGTTTGCTGAGAATGATGGTTTCCAGCTGCATCCATGTCCCTACAAAGGACACAAACTCATCCTTTTTTATGGCTGCATAGTATTCCATGGTGTATATGTGCCACATTTTCTTAATCCAATCCGTCACTGATGGACATTTGGGTTGATTCCAAGTCTTTGCTATTGTGAATAGTGCTGCAATAAACATACGTGTGCATGTGTCTTTATAGCAGCATAATTTATAATCCTTTGGGTATATACCCAGTAATGGGATGGCTGGGTCATATGGTACATCTAGTTCTAGATCCTTGAGGAATCGCCATACTGTTTTCCATAATGGTTGAACTAGTTTACAATCCCACCAACAGTGTAAAAGTGTTCCTATTTCTCCACATCCTCTCCAGCACCTGTTGTTTCCTGACTTTTGAATGATCGCCATTCTAACTGGTGTGAGATGGTATCTCATTGTGGTTTTGATTTGCATTTCTCTGATGGCCAGTGATGATGAGCATTTTTTCATGTGTCTGTTGGCTGTATGAATGTCTTCTTTTGAGAAATGTCTGTTCATATCCTTTGCCCACTTTTGGATGGGGTTGTTTGTTTTTTTCTTGTAAATTTGTTTGAGTTCTTTGTAGGTTCTGGATATTAGCCCTTTGTCAGATGAGTAGATTGCAAAAATTTTCTCCCATTCTGTAGGTTGCCTGTTCACTCTGATGGTAGTTTCTTTTGCTGTGCAGAAGCTCTTTAGTTTAATGAGATCCCATTTGTCAATTTTGGCTTTTGCTGCCGTTGCTTTTGGTGTTTTAGACATGAAGTCTTTGCCCATGCCTATGTCCTGAATGGTACTACCTAGGTTTTCCTCTAGGATTTTTATGGTATTAGGTCTAACATTTAAGTCTCTAATCCATCTTGAATTAATTTTCGTATAAGGAGTAAGGAAAGGATCCAGTTTCAGCTTTCTACTTATGGCTAGCCAATTTTCCCAGCACCATTTATTAAATAGGGAATCCTTTCCCCATTTCTTGTTTCTCTCAGGTTTGTCAAAGATCAGATGGCTGTAGATGTGTGGTATTATTGCTGAGGACTCTGTTCTGTTCCATTGGTCTATATCTCTGTTTTGGTACCAGTACCATGCTGTTTTGGTTACTGTAGCCTTGTAGTATAGTTTGAAGTCAGGTAGCGTGATGCCTCCAGCTTTGTTCTTTTGACTTAGGATTGTCTTGGAGATGTGGGCTCTTCTTTGGTTCCATATGAACTTTAAAGCAGTTTTTTCCAATTCTGTGAAGAAGCTCATTGGTAGCTTGATGGGGATGGCATTGAATCTATAAATTACCTTGGGCAGTATGGCCATTTTCACGATATTGATTCTTCCTATCCATGAGCATAGTATGTTCTTCCATTTGTTTGTGTCCTCTTTTATTTCACTGAGCAGTGGTTTGTAGTTCTCCTTGAAGAGGTCCTTTACATCCCTTGTAAGTTGGATTCCTAGGTATTTTATTCTCTTTGAAGCAATTGTGAATGGAAGTTCATTCCTGATTTGGCTTTCTGTTTGACTGTTACTGGTGTATAAAAATGCTTGTGATTTTTGCACATTAATTTTGTATCCTGAGACTTTGCTGAAGTTGCTTATCAGCTTAAGGAGATTTTGGGCTGAGACAATGGGGTTTTCTAAATATACAATCATGTCATCTGCAAACAGGGACAATTTGGCTTCTTCTTTTCCTAACTGAATCCCCTTGATTTCTTTCTCTTTCCTGATTGCCCTAGCCAGAACTTCCAACACTATGTTGAATAGGAGTGGTGAGAGAGGGCATCCCTGGCTTGTGCCAGTTTTCAAAGGGAATTTTTCCAGTTTTTGCCCATTCAGTATGATATTGGCTGTGGGTTTGTCATAAATAGCTCTTATTATTTTGAGGTACGTTCCATCAATACCGAATTTATTGAGCGTTTTTAGCATGAAGGGCTGTTGAATTTTGTCAAAAGCCTTTTCTGCATCTATTGAGATAATGATGTGGTTCTTGTCTTTGGTTCTGTTTATATGCTGGATTATGTTTATTGATTTGCAAATGTTGAACCAGCCTTGCATCCCAGGGATGAAGCCCACTTGATCATGGTGGATAAGCTTTTTGATGTGTTGCTGAATCCGGTTTGCCAGTATTTTATTGAGGATTTTTGCATCGATGTTCATCAGGGATATTGGTCTAAAATTCTCTTTTTTTGTTGTGTCTCTGCATACCACCCTGAACGCGCCCGATCTCGTCTGCACTTCTTTTTAGAATTGACCTCCAGAAGTATATCTTCTTTCTAAGTTTATATTATTCTTATAGAGTTGTTATAAATATGGTATTTGTATATTAAATATAACTCAATTTCAATTTTTTATATATAAACTAGGAAAGGTGATCAATGTTTATAAGCCATATGGCCATATATTTTACTCTGACTATATGTGCGTCTATATGTGGCTTGAAGTTAGCTGTTTGGGTGATCAAATCAGAATAAATAAATCAACTTGATTTATGTTTGTGTTTTTCAAGAACTTTGTGCAATCCTTCATCTAAATTAAAGAAATCAACTAGTTTTGTAACAATATAGACAACGCTCTAAGAATAGCATTTTGCATTGTGTGTGGTATGCAAAAAAATGTTTTTCCCTCTGTATCCAGTATGTTTATGGGCCCCTCCTCACCCCAACAGTTGGTATATGCCCAGGGAATGTGAAATCATTTCAGCATTGGCCCAAGTACAACATAGAGTAATTAGAGAAGTAAATCTATTCTCTACAACTCATTGTGTGTATTCAAGAGCCAAATGAAATTTTCCTTGCAATTACCCTATGTTTGGGGATTATTCACCCCACTGCTTATTTCCTAACTCCAACTGTTTGCCCATGTGTCTGTCTGTCACTCTCCATCTTTCTTCATCAATCCAATAAAATACAGCTGACCAAAAATGAGAACCAAGGCAGTATGTGTAAAAATTAATTTGAAAAGCAAAATGTCAAGTTTGAAAATACAAACAGACAAGTTCTTTTCTTCTTTATATATAAGTTCTAAATTCATGGAGAACTACATGGTGTTTTTAAGTACAGAAATAACAAGTTAAAAATCACCCTGAATCCAACAATCCAAAGGAAACCATGAGTTTAGACAAACAATTTACCTTCCTGGGATATTGAACTAAGATTCCACTGAATGATTTATCTCCATTTTCCTGCAGCAATTCATCTATCTATGCTACATTCACTGTACTACTTATTAGCATAAGTAAAACTAGTGAGCTGCAAGAATTGATGATCAATTGTTTTTCTCTTGCCCTAAATCTCTGCCTCCAATGTTGTCCTGAAATGAACTAAACTGAGTACCATCAAATGGAGGCTAGAGGTCATATCCCCCTCATTTCCATATTAGCTTATGTTATATGTAATGATTTATATAGAGAGAGATAGATATAGATACCTGTATATAATATACTTTATCATTATAACAATATAATAATTATAGAATTATTTAAAGTTTCATATATATAACTTTATACATATATAGACTATATATAATATATACAACATATTTTATATATACATACATATATTCTAGACCTAACCTACAGCTAGTACTGCAAGTGGAGAATTTTGGTCTCTTTTTCCTTTAAAGAGGGTCAGCTCCAAATATCTTAAGTTTGTTTAGTGTTTACAGAAGCTTGGGAGAGAATAATGTACTTATTCTACCAAAATTGCCCCGTTTTTTGTGTGTGAGTGTGTGATATGCCTGTCTAGAGGAGAAGACCAAATGATTAATACTTTTGTTTGTAGGATGGATTTTTGATGATGCCTAGTCGCTTACAGAATAAAGTCCAGGCTTTTAACCGACTTTTCCCATTCTGTCTTTAATTTGGTCTCATTTTTGCCTTTCTTCTGTTACTTGGACATGTCTTGAATTTTCTGCCCTTTTCCTTTGTACCTTCCTCTGGAAATACCTTTTGAGGGTACTAAACCCTTTGTTTTAGACATGAAACAAGAAACTTAGTACTAGATAAACTTAGTGGCTAGCCCAAGGTCACACAGAGAGTTCGTGTCAGCCACCTGCCATCTCCACAGCTGCATCTCAAGCTTCTCTGATACCACATTCCACTTCTGTATAGAGCTCATTCCTGTGGTTTTTCACTCTCCAACACACCAGATGTACTGCTTCCACATTCTGTCATTATCTCCGCACATTTCTTTCAGTCTTCATACTTTCTTTACGTTGTTTATTTTTATATCTCTTTTCCGGTGATGGGAAGAAGGCTCCTACTGAATAACAGCCTAGGAGAGGGATAAGCAAGCTCCGTGAGAAATGCTGGCAATGCTCAATAGTAAATGCTGTAGTTATTAAGGAAAAGGCTGAAAATATAAGATGAATGATTCCAATGTTGTATTTTCATACGGGAAAAAAATCAGGCAAATGGCAAAAATAATTGTTTATTAACAGGAAGAAACAATCTGGAAAACAATGATTTCAAGTGAATAAAGATGGGGAGGAAGTGGTAAGTGAATATGCTCTGTGTGTGTGTGTGTGTGTGTGTGTGTGTAGTGTCTTCACATATCAGAGAAAAATCTGAAGAAAATAAAGTTTTGTCCAAGGTCGAAGTCTTACTAATACTGTTTATATCTCTTTTCTGGTGATGGGAACAAGGCTCCTAATGAACAACAGCCTAATAGAGGGATAAGCAAGCTCCGTGAGAAATGCTAGCAATGCTCAATAGTAAATGCTGTAGTCAGTACGGAAGAGGCTGAAAATATAAGATGAATGATTCCAATGATGTAATCATTACATAAGCAACACAAATTTTAGAAAATGACCATAACAGATGTTAATGAGCTTGTGAATTTACATACAAATCCTGTTTATGTTTCATTTGACTGGGCAGCAGGTGAGGCTGAGGATCTCCATATATTATAAGAGTGTACAAAATATTCTCTATTTGGAAACATTTGCTAAAGAGTAATGATATGATTATTGCTCAAAGGGAGTGCAGATTAAATGTCATTGAAGCTACTCTAATGCTGTAAAAGTGGCACTGCTAAAATGAGAAATAACCTTCCAAGGCAGGTGTTTGATATATACCCTACGGGCCACTTAAATCTAGATACACTGACAAATTAGAAGATCCCTTATAGATAGATAATAGATGCTTTAAGGTGAGGGAGACAATTTTTAAGTACCCAGATACTTACTCTAATGGTTTGGGTTACTCTCCTAATACCTATAATTTAGAGATTATGGGACATTTTTCAGTGGAATTCAATGATTTCCATCAGTTATCATTTTTATTCATTAAAAATGCGTTGATTTCTCTTATACTACTGTGTTTGGTTTTTGATCCATTAAAATAATGTATGTATTGGAAATTGTAGACTGCCAGACAATTGTTTTCATTATTTATGAAATGTTGTTCCCTCACTTTTCAAATGGTAGCACTTTGAAATGTGTCAGGCTTTCCAGCAGGGGATTTTCTTAAAAACCTATGACCCTCTTATTTCTAAAATAATGATAATAATAAAATCAGATAAATCAGATAATTGATTTCTTCTCCTCACTTTGGATTCATAAAGATCCCATGAGTTAGAGATCTATGCAAAGCAATTTATAATAAGGAAAGCAAGGGAATTCAAAGGAAAAAGATTACACTGGAAGACAAAGAAAGAGACATGTGTGTCTAATAACAGATACTGAGGTGTAAACAAAACCGTTGTTTTGCTTTTACAAGTTTGTTTTTCTCTGTTAGACTCTAAACCCCTTAAGGGCAGCAAAATTGTTTTACCCATTTTTAAAAATATCTAGCTCTAGTACATAGAGCTTCCAGTACATAGAAGGCATTCAATAAATGGTAGAAAGAAAAAGAGGAAAGAGAGGAAGTGACAAGACATTTTGGAAAGAATCAAAAATAATTGAAATAAATATTGAAAAATTGTTTTTCAATTTTTCCATAGATGATAAGATGAAGGATGATCTTCGTGGTTTTGTTTTTTAAATATATTTCTTCTATATAGTGTATAAAACACATTTTAAAATAAGGAAAACCTCTATGATATTGTTTTGTTTCTGACAGATTAATGAATGAGCTCTTTAAAAGTGGGTTACACCTCCGTCTCAAAAAAAAAAAAAAAAAAAAAAAAAGTGGGTTACCTTAGGCTTTAAGGCGAGAACGTAAGCATTGTTTCAGGTAAAGATGCATTTTCTGTATAAGTAATTCATCTTTCTTCCTTTCTTATTTAAACGGAAAAAAATTCTTTTATTTCAGAATCCTACTTTCTGAGTCACTTGAAATGTTTTCTCAACCAATGTGGCCAAATTGTGCTGTTATATTAGGAATGCACTCAAAAAAGAGGTGCTTAATTTCTCTTATCTCCTCTAGACAGACTGTAATTAGAATTAACCAGGGTTTTACTTAATTTTGCAGGAGTTCTTGTGTACAGCAGCCTTCATAGTCATAGTATAATTAACATTGTATCACTCCCATTAGTGTTTTTAAGCACTTAAATTGTGCCATAATGGTCACAGCTAAAGTTGCCATTAAAGTGCGATTGCTATTTATTATGCTCATAAAGTAGACACTTTACCGCAGAAAAAATGTATATAGTAGGATTCCATTTAGAAAGCAGAAACAGACAGTGCCATTAGTTATGGCACCCTTGGGCTGAAAGGGCTGTCTCAAATTGATCCTATTCTTATTTTATTCAGTAGGCAGTGGAGAAATCTAAAAACAGATGACAAGTCATTCAAATCATTGCTTTAAAGGAAAAAACAGGTCTTGATTAGCTGAGTTCCCACATAGACTTATAAAATGTTGACATTAGGACAAACCTACAGGATGAGGGAGTCTAACTTGTTCATTTTACAGATGAGAAAACTGAGACAAGAGAAGGTTGGGCATCAATCTTAAGGTTACAGAAGCATAGTGGGGCAGGGTTAACAGTCAGATCATAAGACTTAGAGTTCTCATGCACATTTCACAAGGCCATACTGAATAAATTTAACGGTAGGTTTTGTTTTCTGTTGTTCCCAGCAAATGATTGACACCCCTTTAATTAAGTTTAGCTTCATTGACTAGCAAGGTGCATTATGTTTCCTTTACAAGACATTTTACCTGATTTCAGGGTCAACAATGTCATATAGATATTAGACAGGGTTTGTTTTTACATGTTTGTTGATTCTACATGATGTTGTTGTTTTGTTTCATTTTGTTTTTCAAGATTCATTTTATTGAAGGTGACAGAATTATCCTAATGTCATTGGCTCTTGTCATTGAAAAGAGAAGAGCTCTATACAATTTTAGTTTTTTCTAATAATCGTATTATATAATCAGTTTGGTTCCACTATCTATACGTTAATTTTGTTTCCCAATGCAGGCTGGTAAAGATATATTTTATTCAGCTGAATTGTTGCAACTCAACACAAACCATTTATAAGAGTAAACAATTATCACTGAAATGAGAACAATTTAGTGGTCTTGCATGATTAATGTCCTACATAAATTCTTTATGACACCGAATTGAAAGATGATGTTATGAATGTATAATGGCAAGTTAACAGAATATGTCACCTTTTGATTTGTTTCTGAGGAGACAGGCCTTGCAATCAGTGATTTTCCAATGGCCAGAAGCCTATAAAACTACCATATTTGTTCCTTGTAAATTAAAATTTAGAAGCCACAATGATGTATGTTGTTAGACCAGCTGGGAGAAAAATGCCTGGAAAAGGAAATTGCTTTATATATTTTTTTCTGATAAATTTCAGCTCTGTGTGTGTGGGTGGAATTTTATTTTTCTATTTCATGTCATCATTACTTTGGAAAGTTTAACAGCAAAATTTATAAACTTTCTATTTTGTTATTGTTTACATTTTGGAGAAAAAAAGGCTTGAAAAAATGGTATAATGCATGTAATCCTCACAAAAGCCAGACTGATAAAAATACATAAGAGTTAAATAATTATACAAATGTCTGTTTTCTTAAATGGGACCAAAGAATAGACTATAAAATCTATCATTAATATTTTTTAAAAATCAGACATGCAAGGGATCTTATGGATTATCTTAATTTTTATCTGAAGATGAGGCCATTGAAATTTTTCAAGTACAAGAAATACTTTAAGATGATACAGTCCATTAGTGGCAATGTCAGGAGTAGTATTTGAGCATATTTAATTCCATTTCATATTGCAAACTTTCTAATTTATTCTTTTCCATATGCTGCTCCCCAGTGACCGAAACCAGGCCTTCTTCACATTATTTGGCTTAACTCATTAAATCAACACAAGTTTGTGAATGCCTACTATATGCCAGATACTACCTTTCTAGGCATTAAGAGAAAATAAATAAACGAGATTAAAAAAAAAAATACGCACCAACATTTATATTGAAGAATTTGGGGAGATTTTATTTAAAAATAAGGAAAACATATAGCACATTACATAATGATAAATGTTATGTTATGTAGAAAATAAAGCAGAAAAGAGAATACCAGGTGAGTATTAGTTTTAGATAAGATGGTCAGGAAAGGATTCATAAAAACTTTTACCAAAGACAGACAGCACAAGAGTCATAGAGCTATCTTGTGAAGAATCATGTCAGACGAAAGGAATGGCAAGTCTTCTAGTGCTAAGGCCAGAGTGTGCCTGTTAGATTTGGGGAGTACCCTGTCTAGCCATAAGGAAGAAGCAGGAAAGAGGGTAGAGGTGAAATGGGGGTGTAGGGTGCGGAATGTGAAAGCCTCATAGCTCATCATAAGGACCTTAGCTCTTACTTTGAATAATAATATGAAATTTTATTTCTTCATTCTTAACTCATACAACACATATTTAGTGACTGTCTACTGAGTGCAGGCCCTGATTGTTCAAATCATTGGAAATAGGTTAGCAAACTCAAGCCCTCATTTTTACTGCAAAATTAAAGAGAAAGTTTTGAGCAGAGGAGTGACGTAACATTCCTACCTTTAGTGGGGGCCCTGTGCCTAAGGTTCAGCATGAGATGTATAGAGAGGCAAGAGCTGGTGGAGGCCACATTTACGAACAATTACAATAACCCAGGAAAGATGACAGTGGCTTGGACAAGGTGGGTAGAACTGAAGGTAGTAGGAAGCGGTTAGATAATGAATATTTTGAATATATATAATAGACTCTCCTGATGATTAAATGTGGTGTCGGAGAGAAACAGGGATCAAGGATGTCTCCAAGTGTTTTGCCTGAACAACTGGGAGGAATTAGTTGACAACTGAGTTGAACAAGCTGCAGGAAGAGATTAGATAGGAAAGATAGAGAGTTCAGAACTGGACTTGTTACATGTAAGACACCTATTGGACATCCAGCTGGAAAAATCAAGCAGATAGTTGGACTTATAAATTCTGGAGTTCAAGAGAGAGATTAGGCTGCATATGTAGATTTCTGATTAGCATATAGATGGTATTTAAATCTATGAGACCAGATGTGATCACCAAGGGAAGGAGGAGAGAAAACATAAGAGTTCCTAGGACTGAAGCCTAGGGTACTTCTACTTGTACAGATTATGGAAATGAGAAGAAACAACTGGAGATACTGAGATGCAGCAGTTAGAGGCAGAGGCACAACAAAAAGTGCAGCATCCTGAAAGCTAAATGGAAAAAGTATTTCAAGGAAAGGTCCACCTCTTATTCCCAATAGGCCAAGTAGGAAGAGGTGGGAGAATTAACAGTGAATTTACAGCATGAAGGTCATTGGTGACCTTGATAAGAACAGTTTCTGTAGTGTGGTGGTGGGAAAAACCCTGTCTGAAATGGGTTCAAGAGAGAATGAGAAAGGTAAAATTGTTGACAGCTCTTTTGAAAGAAAGCATGTCATTGCCCTGAATGTATTCCAGGTAGGATTGGAGTATTTGGGTCCCCTGCCTGCTGCTGTGGTTAAGTGAGAGGCAATGACGGTATTCCTCTTCTCAACTTCTCTTTCTAAAAAAAAGGTAACAATAATAATGATGTCAATAATAATAATAATGTACACAGATCTAAACTCCACTGAGAAAGGTCTGCACTGTGACATATAATGAAATAAAAATGAGATGCCTTTTGTTTCTAAAATGTGTGAATTATTGTGGAAATGTGTATTCAATGAGATGATGTTTGTTATTCTTATTTATAATTAAAATTATTTTCTTTTCTATACAATTAGTCAACTTCCCATTCATACTACTAATGGAAAGAAAAAGCTTGATCTTGATAATTTAAGATATCAATGGGTTTCTAGAGTAAAGCATGTTGTCTGTCTTTCAGTTAAATCCATCAGTTCAAATCTTATTCCCCTTCTCCCTCTTCTATTTTCCCCTGCAGCATCTTAACACAGGGAAGACTTACTTAATACCATGGTGCTAAGATATGTGGAGGTGGCTTATTTCCATAGTTTTCAGATTATTGCTAGTATCCACTATTGGTGTAACAGGTGCATGATCCCTGCTTTTGTCTTTCTGTGTCAGATCTGCTCACTTCCTCTCTCCTCTCCTGGTCCGAGGACCTTCTGTTCTGTGTCCTTTTAGCACTTTGGCAGACACTCTATCATCTAGGTTTCCCACATGCCACCTTCTGGCCACAGATAAACTGGAAACACCATTCCAGGGCCCTCTTTATGCCTCAAGAGGCCTGCACCTGTACATCCACCTTACTTTGGTCATCATGACTACCGCTTATCCAGAGCGCACACAGGGCTACGTGCCAGTGCCGATGGCAATTCTGTAAAGATGTAGGGTTTCTTACAAAGTAATTTTCCCCTGGACTCCCAGCTGGAAAAAAGAACAGAAGCTACACATGATTTTGGATTCTCCTGATTTGTCTCATTTTAAGTTCTCACTCAGACTTGCCTGCCTTGATGTAGGCCTTGGAATTGGAAGACACTGACTCTATTACCAGGCAGACAGGCAGCAGCCCAATCCCAGCAGTGTTCCTCTGAATTGCTCCTGCATCTCCAGCTCAGAGTAGAAAACTATTTTCTCTCTCTTGTGTGATGACAACATCCTACATCATGCCATACCTTCTTCCCTAGTTCTCTATCATAATTTACTCTTTGGTTGACCTCCATACAGACGGAACATCCGAAAACCCCCTTTCGTCTCAGTAACTTAGCTCCTTCTTCCCTAGTTCTCTGTCATAATTTATTCTTTGGTTGACCTCTGTAGAGATTGAACGTCCAGAACCCCCTCTCATCTCAGTAATTTAGCTCCTTCTTTCCTAGTTCTCTATCATAATTTATTACGTCCAGAACCCTTCATCCTGTGCAATTTAGCCTCTTCTTTCCTAGTTCTCTATCATAATTTATCTTTTGGTTGACCTCGTAGAGATTGACGCCCAGAACCTCTCATCTCAGTAATTTAGCTCCTTCTTTCCTAGTTCTCTATCATAATTTATTATTTGGTTGACCTCCGTAGAGACTGAATATCCAGAACCCCCTCTTGTCTCAGTACGTCTTGCAAGTGAAAGTGATCCTCAGATTGGAAACATGCAAAGCCTTATTTTAATCAATTAAGCTCACTTTGACTTCTTTTCTTCTATGCTCCTTCCATCCTGCCGCCAATGAAATGTATGCACAAACTTTAGAAGGTTGAGAGTTTGGGAAAATTATAACTTGGGGGAATAAAATACACAGCAGATACTATTTCAAAAAAGATTATCCTGCAACATCAGTAAAGACAGTAACAAGACTGGTTTCTGGTGTTATTGTAAAATACCCTCACCTTCCCTCTTTGCCTTCATTTCCCTTTGTGAGTGCTGCCAGCCTCCTCTGTCAGAAAAGTCTCTACTTCCCACACTTGTGTCCCCCACATATATGCTCTACTCCTTCATTGCAGAAGCTCATAACTTCAGTTATGCTAAGATATAAAAATTACTGATGCATAACGTTTGGCCTCTCAATAGATTTTGAGGTTTTTGAAACAACGTCATAAAAATTCTACTGAAAATAAAGTGGGACATATATATTTTTTTTTGTCCGACCTCAGAGAAAAAGAATGAAGGTATATATCAAGAACTTCCTAAGTTGAGACATTATAAAAGTAATGAAAGAATCTACTGTGAATGAATTAAAGTTCATTTTAATGAAAACTATTATTTTTACCATTAATTCATTGAACCAAATGCATATACACATGGTACAGATATTTTAGCATGAGCTTCTAATAACAGCACACTTCACTTTCTTTAACTAAGAAGCTGGTGATGAGCCTTTACTCTGGTTTGAACTTCTCTTCTTCTAGGTTCAATGATATCTTTTGATATCCCCTGCCTTCTAATCTCATTCAAAGCCAGATTCTTCAGAGGATATAAATATTTAAATTATTATGTCTTCTCCAATATATTTTTAATTGACTAACTTATAATATGATTTTATTTTTAAATATGACATAAAACTTACATCATGGAAAAGGTAAAACAACTGCCCTATAGCCTTTCTGATCTTCTCCCTCTCTTTTGATTTTTGTTTTATTTGTACAGTTTCCTTGTTTTGGTTCCCTAAGCAAATTTCCTCTTGGTGATTCAACAGTAATCCAGTGAAGTTGTTGTATACTATATCAAGGCTTCTGGTGCTATTTGTTGAAAAAGCAACACTATTTTGTTAATTTTTGAATATGCCTTAAGTTTAGTTTTAAGAATAAACATTAAACCTACCATTTACTGAATGTATTTTACGCACCAGGACTATGCAGAACGTTTTACCCTCATATTTAATTCTTCCCCAACTCCCAAAACAGGTTTGTCATAATACCCATTTTGTAGATGAGAAAATGAAGATCAAATAAGTACTCTGCCCAAAGTGACATGTCTGATAAGAGTTTGGGCAGAAGTTAAACCCGTTTCTTTTCAACATTAGAACCTGAGCTCTTAGTAAATAGAAGGTACACCGTTTCCTCTTACGCCCTGCCTCTCCTGGCCTCACTTAATCAGGACGTGACTTTGTCTACAAGAGTGTCGTATTCCACAACCTTCCTCCTCCCAACTAGACCTTTCATTCTGTTCTCCTTTTCTTCTCTGCAGTAAGCTTCTCCATGTGCTAGCTGAAAGCTGAATTCATAATCTCCACTTCTGGTGAAAAGAGTGACAATTTGATTTCTGAATTAGTGAAAAACTCAAAGCATAAAACTCTGACCTTCCCAGTGTAGTTATGACTGATTTCCCTGGCAGCCTGAGAAACATCCAGTCTCTTACTTCACATGCCTTTGGAGGTTGCCGTAGTCATCTGACCGTTGTCATCAGAGTGGGAAACAAGTCCTTTCTTTCAAATGTTATGATTGTACACGTTTTAAACTGTCCTTTCATATGACCAAAATAATAAGAATTCGTCACTAAATTTTCAGTAATATGTTAACTTTTCGAGAATGATATAGGCAGTTTGCCTTATAAGTATAATGTACAATTTTGACCTTGCCACTTTATATTCTCTGTCAGTGGTGACAGGTGATTTTCCTCACCTCAAATTAGGCAACTGTTCTAGCAACTCGCAGTAATTTTTGTGACATGACTGACATGTGAAAAGTGATATATCCCTTTCATTAAAAGATGTATGTTCTAAGCAAGGAAGCCTCTGTGCTCCCATAAAACCATAGCAAAAAGGAAAACACTTCTACATTGATATTCTGAGAAAGAAAGCCTAGAAAGCCCATTCTCACGCTATCCCCATAAACATCATCATAAACTTTGAGAAGAGTAGAGTCGTGTCTTATGTCAGTTCCTCAAAATAATGATTAAGTTGAAGCACTTTTTAAAATACAACATATATTTGATAAACTAAGAAGCTATTGAAACTTTTGATACTAGAAAGAAAGAAAGAAAATAATCCATCCTATTTATCTGGATGATATCTAGTTACTTTCATCTTGTTTTATATTAACTAATGTTTTGAAGAAATATTCAATATCTCCTAAAAGAGGGTTTCATCAGAGGGGAGGCTATTAAATAATGAATTTCCAGGCTTTTAGAATTTATGCATGCCATTAAATAAAACAACTTTTTTGAGTCATAAATCTCTTTAGCCCATGTGTATGCCACAGAATTTAGGCACGGGTCTAGAGAAATGCCAGCGTGTTGGGATGTGAGGATTAAACACAATGCCTGTCAGACACTGTGAGCTCAAAAGGGTGTTTTGTTTTTCTTCTTTTTTATTTCTGTGAGGACAACTTCCCCGCTCAGCATATCTGCGCCATTTGGAATAATAGGAGTGTTTTAAAATAGGCCTCAAATTAATTATTTGTTTTTCTTAAAAAGTACTTTTCTTCTGGGGAACTGCACAGTTATTTAAACCCGGGAGGAAAACGTGCTCATGTGAAAGCACACATCTTATGAGTGTTTTGTTTTAAACCTGAAAGATTATAAAAATAGAATATATCCTCCAGACATAAGCATAATGGAAACAAAGCATGGAAAAGGGAAAGTCAAGCTTGTCACATGAGTCCGTAGAGAAGACCACCTAAACAGGCTTTGTGTGAGCGACAAGGCTGTTTGTTCACTTGGGTGCAAGTCCGAACAGAGCGTCAGCAAAGGGAGACAGGAAAGGGGCAGCTGTAGAGAGGTGGGTGGGCCGTGGAAAGTTACAGGTAAAGGTGGTTATCTGTTGTCAGCAGGTGGGGGTCACATGGTGGAGAGATCATGAGACTCATCATCCTGGAGAAGGATGTCACAGGGTCCACTGATCAGTTAGGACAGGGCGGGAACAAGTCCTCGTGGTGGAGCGTCATAAGGTGGACATTGAGTGGGGTCTGATGGGAAAGAACGTTTTCTTCAGACGCTGACTGATTTGGGAAAGGTCTGGTAGAGACAAAGGTACATGAACCCATACTGTGTCCTCTTTTGTCAGTTAAGTCATCACCTAAAAGTTTTGGACAAGTTTGGGTTCATCAGTTAAGGCAGGAACTGGGGTTTCACTTCTTTTGTTGTTGGTTTTTTTTTTTTTTTTTTTTTTTTTTGGCTGCTCCAGATTTCTTGGCTCCTGCAGGCCATCTGGACGCATATGTGCAGGTCACAGGGGTTATAATGGATGAGCTCTGGCTCAGAGGCCTGACAAAACTCACACGCACCCCATATTCATACACAAGTGGGCAAGTATGTGTATGCAGAAAATGAAAAAATAAAGATTCTGTTTTAACTACGTACAAACTCCAAGAAGGACGAGTTCCCTCTGTTTATTTTTCCCTCTCCCTTCTGTTTTCTATGTAGGCAATTCCTAGTGTCCAGCAGGATTATAACTTCTACAAAGAAGTTGTCTTTAAAATTTTCGATCCAGACTTATCTTTTTCTTTTCTGAATTAATATTAACCACCTGTGTCACTGAGTTAGGATATTAATCATTTACATCTTGAGAGCAGGCATATGTTTACATCACGTACCATCGTTTACCTGCTGTTGCTATCTTCTAAAGCAGTACATGCATAAACCTCTCACCCCGGGACTATCGGCTCCTTGGTGTGAAAACCAATATATTTTTTTTCTTTTTCAAATTTATTTTAGAATTGGGTACATGTGCAGGATTGCTACAGAGGTAAATTGTGTGAAGCTGAGATTTGATGTATAAATAAACCCATCACCGTGTTATTGAGCATAGTACCCAATAGGTAGTTTTTCAGACCTTGCCTCCATCCCTCTCTTCCCTCTCTAGTGATCCAGAGTATCTTTTTCCCCATATTTCTTTATGTCCATGTGTACCCAGTGTTTAATTCCCAGTTATAAGTGATGTCATGCAGTTTTTGGAAAACCAATCATTTTACATTTTAATATTGGTAATATATCTAGTGGAATGCTAGCATGCTGTCCTACTTACAATAGCAAAGACTTGGAACCAACCCAAATGCTCAACAATGATAGACTGGATAAAAAAATGGGGCACACATGGAATACTATGCAGCCATAAAAAACAATGAGTTCATGTCCTTTGCAGGGACATGGATGAAGCTGGAAACCATCATCCTCAGCAAACTGACACAGGAACAGAAAGCCAAACACTGCATGTTCTCACTCATAAGTGGGAGCTGAACAGTGAGAACATATGGACACAGGGAGAGGAACATCACACAATGGGGCCTGTCGGAGGTGGGAGGAAAGGGGAGGGAGAGCATTAGGACAAATAGCTAATGCACGCGAGGCTTAAAACCTAGATGACAGGTTGATGGGTGCAGCAAACCACCATGGCACATGTGTACATATGTAACAAACCAGCACGTTCAGCACATGTATCCCAAAACTGTAAGTAAAATTAAAAAAAAAAAATGCTAATGTGCTGCCAATAAAGATTCTGCATTGTGTTTCATTCATGGATAGTAGGCCACAAAATTCAAGAATGCACAAATCAAATAGCATCTTCACATATTTTTTCCTTGAGATAAAAATGTTTGAGTTGTATTATCCATCCTGTTTAAGTAGCAAAGTATAAAGCTTAAATATGTAAACCACTGGAAAAACCTAAAATTACCCGGTTTTGTTCCATCTTCAAAAATGTGAAATAAAGGCATACTACTAGAAATAGTCTGTGAAAAAAAAAAAAAAAGTCTAAATATAAAGACACACTAGTAGGTCAGACAGAAACAGGATTTGCCTATTCCCATTCTTCTTTATTGAGGCTTTTCTCCTTTCTAATGTCAGAAAGCTGAAAGCGTTAAAATTTAACCAACAAAAATGTCCTGACAGAGCTTCCGTAATCGAGCCAATGATCCAGAAGATGGTAAGAGAATACTGCTTTTCCAGGTGAGAAAAGAGGACACTTGGTCTAATACATTCATGCAAATGTCCAACTATAATGAAATGCATTACGAAAACTTGAGTATACCTGAGGAGATCTGTACCCAGTTTTTGGATGCTACTGGAGAGCAGCTAACCTTGCATTTTTGCCAAGATTGTTAACACAGATATTTCCATTTTAAAGGACACTCTAAGAATGCAGCATAACCTTTAACGGTACTTACTTGCCTAAAAAGGCATTCCTGTAACACAGAGTTGAGTATGCATGAGGAACCAAAAAAAAAAAAGGTTTGTTGGAAGAGACAAAACTCCAGTGAAATGTCAGGGACCTGAAAGGAGGAGAACAATATGAATTGGAAAAGGCCAAGGGAAATGGCTTGCAGACGTAGTGACTACAAGGGATAAATAATGAGAGCTTTGTTTGGTAACTGGAGTGAAATTGTGCTTTGTAAATGTGTGAGAAATGGAATTAGATGGATTGGACAGTGCTGGATTAAATAGAGAAGTTTGAACTTAATGCAATAGGTTGAAGAGAATCATGTTATTTTTGTGAACCTACTAGTGGTGTAGTCTGACTGACGGACACTATTACATCCCTTTGCTCATTGAAAAATATTCAACTATTTTTTGCTGCTAACTGCTTCCATTGCAGAAATACTAGGACATACAAATAAGTAAAATTGACAAAACTAAAAACCCCATGTACTTACTATCCAGAGACTGAACAAGTGTTAACTTTCAGAATACATGCTTCATACATAAAACTTCTGGTCAAGTAAACATGAAGTTGGAAGCTCAAAGGCAGTCCATGCAGTGAACACTATTCTTCCCTTGTCATTTGCCTTCTTCTCTTTGAATTTGAAATTCACAAACAAAGGACCATTGGCTCTGACGTAAGAAATAGAAAAAAAGAAAAGTTTGTTATTCTTAATATTTTTAATTTGACTTTTGATTTATTTATTTTTATTTTTATTTTTTTGACAAAGAGTCTCGCTGTCACCCAGGCTGGAGTGCAGTGGTGAGGTCTTAGCTCACCACAACCTCTGTCTCCCAGGTTCAAGTGATTCTCCTACCTCAGCCTCCTGAGTATCTTGGATTACAGGCACGCACCACCACGCCTGACTAAATTTTGTATTTTTAGTAGAAATGGGATTTCGCCACATTGGCCCAGCTGGTCTCGACCTCCTGACCTCAAGTGATCTGCCCGCCTCGGCCTCCCAAAATGCTGGGATTACAGGCATGAGCCACTGCACAAAGCCAGTTCGACTTTTCGTTTCGTTTCAATAATTATCAATTAAATGTTAGTCCTCCTCCTGGCACTTGTAATAATTGATTGCTTGGTATTCTTTCAACATATAATTATGGAGTAACTACTTCTTAGTAGGCTTAATAAACAAAACAGCCCATCTTCAAAGAGGTTAACCTCTAATACTCTTTACATTGGTTTCTCTTTGGTATCTTTGTCAGACATGCATGGAAATTTATGACACAGCTATGCTTTATCTGGCTCAGATTAAAATGACAAACATTTTCAAATCTTGATTACCATGCCGGTTTTATTCTCAGTATCAAATTTCTCACATACCTAAGATGCATTAATTTTTTTTAATCACTGAAGAGGTGTTTATTTCTTCATTGTTATTTCATCTGTGTGTGCCATCTGCTAGTCCGTACCAGTCAGGTCCTGTTATAGGAGCCAGGGATGTAAAGACAAGTGAGAATTGGCATAGGAGAGCCCACAGCCTTCAGGTGCAAAGAAAGCAGAGTAAATTGAGTGTCTTGTTAGATCCCACTGATGGCGTGGCACATGAAGAGAGGAGGTGCTTCCCTGGAGGGGGTGATTTCAGAGCTGGTGTAAGTAGTTGGGAAGGTATTAAGAGGCTGACATAGTTTGGACTGGAAACTAGGGGTTCTACCTCTTTTTTATGTTACCTAGGTTTTGCTTTTCACTTTGTCTGTCACACTGTTCCTACCTTGTTCATTTTCACAACTTTGTTCAAAACAGCCTCCAGGCTTCTTGAGCCATTTAATATAATATATATATTTAATATAATATTATTAAATAATAATTTAATACAGTATATATTAACACCATCTCAGGGGATTACTTTGCCACTTCCTTCTTGAGAAAATAAAGACTACCAGACATGAAGTTTCTTGATTTCTTTCATCTCAGCATTTACCTTCACCAAATGCTTCTTTCCTTCTTCCCTCCACTCTACCACTAAATTGTCCACTTAAGTGCCATATTTCATCTCCATTCGTCTTCTCAAAGGCTTCAGTGATCATTTTTTTTCTCTCTTGTAGTTTACACTCTTTTCCTCTACCCTCATTTTCTTTTTGATCTACAATCATGTCAAGTCTACAAACATGTTTAGGTGCCTTCTATATTTTTTTAAAAAGTGAAGTAAATTTGTTATTGACTGCTGGGCCAAAGCTCCAGAATGTCTTATGGGGTCCAGTGATGCAGGAATGTATAATAGTGATCAGTATTTATTTCTAGTAATATATAGGAATATGGTGAACCTTTCTGTGCTGGTTTCCTTTCTCTAACCCCACCCCATTCTACAGTATTCCTCTAAGCTTTAACCTGTAAAGATAGTAACTCCAGGCCTTGGCTTCCCTTGCCTGGCAGATTGGTCACTTTACATCAGGTATTGAGGTTGGTCATAGGAAAGCTGTATCTACTCCTTGTATCTTTCTATCTTAGTTATGGATATTTTTGCACTGCTGTTTACTAACTGAGTAGAAATTCTAAGGAAAAGTAACCTAAGGCTAAGTTCACGTCTTCATTTTCTCTTATTGTAAGCCTGGACCAACTTTCATGGACTAGATCTGTTCACCTTCTTTCTATGTCTCTTCAAGATGCTTCCTCTCTCTCTCCTTTCCTTTCACTTTGCAAGATCTTGAAAGGAATGCTCCACAGTTACTGCAACCACTTACTCAACTTCTCTTTACTCCTCTGTCCGATAATATCTGCCTCTTCCCCAACCACTCTACTGATAATGTACTTGCCAAGATGTTTAAAGACTTTCATATTGCCAAATTAAATGCCATTTTCAGTTCTAACTATACTTGACTTCCTTACAGCATTTAGTGCTGTTGACACTTGAACAAGTCATTAAATCCATTCCTTTTCTAGGATCAGTTTATCTCAATTTTCCTATGACGTTCTCATTCTCCTTTACTGTCTTCTCTTTTTGTCCTTCCCTCTGAAACCATGGTGTTTCTCAGGACCTCATGTTTGTTCTGATTAACTTCTTACTTCATGTTCTAATTGAATGGTATTATCCATATTTTCCACAGCTGATAAATCACAAGTCAAAATCTGCGTTCTGAATTTTCTTAGTAGTATTGTATTTTTAACTCTGTACTAGATACACTCATCTCATTGTTCACAGTGACTGTTATGGACTGAACTGTATTCTCCCCAAATGCATACGTAGCAGTGTTAACCCACAATGTGACTGTATTCGAAGATATTCCCGTTAAAGGAGCAATTAAGGTTAAGTGAGGTCACAGGATGGGACTCTAATCCAATAAGCCTGGTGTCCTTATAGGAAAGGAAGAGACACCCAGGAACAACACAGACAGAGGAAAGTCCATGTAAGGACACAGCAGGAAGCTATTGAGCCCCACCATTCATCCCAAACAAACAAAAATCAGAAACCTTAGAACCATCTGTTTTCCTTGTTCCTGCATCTCACAGAAAGGAAGATGTAGCAGCTTGGTAAAGAGTACGGGCTCAGCGACAAACAGCCTGTATTTCAATTTTAGGATTGCCATTTGCTAGCTCTGTAACTGTGGCAAATTATTTCACCTTCATATCTCATCTGTGACCACGGTTTTGATGAAAATGTCTGTTTCATTGGGTTGTTAGGAAGAATAGAATGCTTCTATTCTCAAAGAGTATGTGTTTACTAATGTTAACTTTTATAATCATCAGCATCATTATTAAATATTGCCACATCTTCTCAGTTACAGCTGCAATGTCTTTAAATCTAGACCATCTTTTTTTTGAAATCCCTGTTGTTACTCCCAAGCACTCCTCACAACTCACCTCGGGTATCCCCTCAGATCTCTTCTTTCTAGCCGCTTCTTCCTATAAAATATTTTATGCTCCTCAGTCGATCTTCAGGGGGAAAATATGCTAGAATAATCCTTGGTGAAA